TTCTCATGGATAGATGGCGGTGATTACTGTGTGTTATGGCGGAGGTGTATACACTAGATACTTCTCATGGATAGATGGTGGTGATTACTGTGTGTTATGGTGGAGGTGTATACACTAGATACCTCTCATGGATAGATGGTGGCTCATAACAAGAGATCACTCGGTGATGGAGGAGGTCTTGAGTGGTGGGCAGATGTGACAGAAACGGACTCTGTTGTTGGTGCCTGATAACTGTGTAGTGGTTCAGTGGATTGGAGACCACTGGTAACTTTAACACTGTTGTAGCATTGTGTGTTGATTGGTGTAGATTACAGCCTACTCGATTATTGCCGTGCAATATTTGACTACACTGAGTAGAATACTGCCAGGGAGCCCTGGGGGGCATTGATATGGCAAATACATTATGGAAGTTATATTTAGAATATTTCTGAGAAGCCACATACTTCTCCAATTACAAACCACTTACATGTTATTATATATAACCTGGACTGTTAGTATGTCAGTTCCATGTCAAACAGTTTAAGGAATGTAATGAGTCCTATTACACACAACATATTGATTATCCGTCTTACCTGAATTTGAAAAAATGTTCCCATTTTTAATAAAATAGTCTTGGCAGCAGTGTGCGTAGCTGTGTCTTTGATCCCAGCCTGGTGTTCATAAAAAATATAGAAATGTTTAACAGATTTGCTTAAGACAAGAAACACAGTTTAAATTAATTTGATTTGCATTATTCTGGCTGAAAATTTACAGATTGATAACATTAACCAATAGCACACAGATCAGATAAGTAACAAGTTCACACCACATGAGTAGGGAATAATTAGCTGTAGTAAATGTGTAATGAATGAATGGTCTTGGTTGGTATAAACCAGAACTGTAAGCTGAAGGCTAACTTATACCCCTGCTCCTATATAAACTAGAACTGTAAGCCAAAGGCTAACTAATACCCCCGCTCCTATATAAACCAGAACTGTAAGCTAAAGGCTTACTAAGGTGAAGCATTGCAAAGCAATCCATAGTCTCTCACCAGTAATGATTTCTTTATTGGCTGAGCTGTACACTTATTAAAGTAAATAGGTCACTAGCATATTTTCTGTACTCCATCTCAATGCCAAAACATACTTGCAGACCAAATCGTGTTAGCCCAGATGACCGAGTGGTGCTGAAATCATCCTAGTAGTTAATGAAGAGATGTCAGGACAAAGAATTTTAACAAAGGGCCATTACTCCTTAAAAAGGGTCGAAATGAAAAAATACTACCCTAATGCATGACATCAGGGGGTAGTTACCATATCTGTAAACTTTCATTGAAATTGGCCCAGAAGTTTAGGAGGCAGACAAAGGTTTTTTCAACAAAGAGGTATAACTCCTTTTAAAAGGGTCATAATGAAAAAGTAATACTTGGATGTACAACGTCAAGGGACAGTTGCCATATCTGTAATCTTTCTTTGAAATTGGCCTAGTAGATTAGGAGAAGTTGTGCGGGCAAGCGTTATTCAACAAAGGGCAACAACTCTGTAAAAAGGGTCAGAACGAAAAGAATAATACCTGGATGCACAATTTCAGGTGATAGTTATCATATATGAAAACTTTCGTTGAAATTGGCCCGATAGTTTTGGAGGAGTTATCCGGACAAGGATTTTTCAACAAAAGGCCATAAATTGGAAAAAATGGACAGAATGAAAAATTAATACCTGGATGCACAACTTCAGACGGTAGTTATCTTATCTGGAAAGTTTCATTGAAATTGGTCCATTACATTACTTTAGAAAGAGTTGTCCGGACAAACCTTTTCTACAGACGGACAGACAAACAAGCTGATTCAAGTATAACACACACACACACCCCTAACTTCGTTGCGGGGGGGTATAATTGGGGAGACACAGCTAGTGATCGGTATGTCCATTACACAGGCCAGATGTTTATAGAACTACAGCTTACTATTCACATGATCAGGGCTGCATGAGCCAACCTACCATATACATGGTGAGTACTGAGTATTAAAGGTACAAAAAATGACAACTTACAATGTTCATGACCAGGGCCACAAGTAGATGATAAAGCAATTTATATTACTATATGTACATGACCACGGCCACTGGTCGACAGATAAAAAGCTTACCATGTACATGACCTGGGCCACAAGTAGACGATATGACAGCTTTATATGTACATGGCCAGTGCCACCGGTAGTTGGATCAGAAGCTTACCATGTACATGACCTGGGCCACAAGAAGACGATATGACAGCTTTATATGTACATGGCCAGTGCCACCGATAGTTGGATCAGAAGCTTACCATGTACATGACCTGGGCCACAAGTAGACGATATGACAGCTTTATATGTACATGGCCAGTGCCACCGGTAGTTGGATCAGAAGCTACCATGTACATGGCCAGTGCCATCGGTAGTTGGATCAGAAGCTTACCAAGTACATGACCTGGGCCACAAGTAGATGATATGACAGCTTAATATGCACATGGTCAGGGCCACTGATAGTCAGATCAGAAGCTTACCTTGCACATGGCCAGGGCCACAAGTAGATCAAATGGAAACATACCACGTACATGACCTGGGCCACAAGTAGATCAAATGGAAATGTACCACGTACATGACCTGGGCCACAAGTAGATCAAATGGAAACTTACCATGTACATGACCTGGGCCACAAGTAAATGATATGACAGCTTATCATGTACATGACCTGGGCCACCAATAGAGAGATCAGAAGCTTACAATGTATATGACCTGGACCACAAGTAGATGATATGACAGTTTACAATGTACATGACCTGGGCCACCAATAGAGAGATCAGAAACTTTATATGTACATGGCCAGTGCCACCGAAAGTTGGATCAGAAGCTTCCCATGTACATGACCTGGGCCACAAGTAGACGATATGACAGCTTTATATGTACATGGCCAGTGCCACCGATAGTTGGATCAGAAGCTTACCATGTACATGACCTGGGCCACAAGAAGACGATATGACAGCTTTATATGTACATGGTCAGTGTCACCGGTAGTTGGATCAGAAGCTTACCATGTACATGGCCTGGGCCACAAGTAGACGATATGACAGCTTTATATGTACATGGTCAGGGCCACTGATAGTCAGATCAGAAGCCTACCATGTACATTTGAAGGTTCATAGTAGGCAGACTGACAACTTAACATGTACATGGTCAGGGCCACTGATAGTCAGATCAAAAGCTTACCATGTACATTTGAAGGTTCATAGTTGACAGACTGACAACTTACCATGTACATGGCCAGGGCCACAGGTAGATAGAAAGAGTAAAATGCTGTCTTCCACTTAACAATGGCTGTGTATCTCTCCGTTGTAAATTCATCAAAGTTGATATGGGTTTCAGGGGCCGTAATCAGATCTAAACACTGGCCCGTCACAGTCTGCATTGTTGTCTGAATGTGGAAACAAAATAACATATTTTTCTCAAAACTAAAATTCATGAGAACATAATGACTATTATTCAATGACAATCATTATTCTAAGGCAAGTAATAACCCTCCAGTTTGAATATTTGTACCAAGTTGACTTTCTTCATTACAGTGAGGTATGAAATACAGTAGTGGTTTCGTTACATTGTAACGGTGATCAACATGATGTAAACACTTTCATGGCATTACACCATCAGATTAACAACATTTTCACAGCTCAATACTCAAACTGAATTTTGAATTCTTAACATAAATATTTGATTAAATGTTATTTTAGAGAAGACATCAATTTAAATAAGTATTGAGGCTGTAAATGTCAGATCAAAGTATTACCAACACCTGCCCAGTGATATGCTGAGAGTGAGGCTTCACTCACTGGTAACTGATGATGCTGGCCTTTTTTACTATATATAACAGATTAATGGTTTCAGCGAGAGTTAGAACATCTCGGCGTGAGATTTTGTCTCACACTGTGAGAGTTGACAATCCTGCCTTCACATCTTTCACTAAGCCTTACAGTACTTACAACTGATCAGAGGTCAAATTTCTGAATAGTGGAAAACTTTATTGGTAAAAAATTTCACTGATTTAAACACAAACTTAAAGTCATTGATTTTTTTTTTTTTTACAGTTTCATGTCCATACCAGTAAAGTGCTGGGAATTTATTATATTGTCAAAAGCAACAAACTTTTTAGTATCATTACCCTGGATCTTCCACCTTATCTATTGACCATACCCTATCACCCTGGTGTTATCTACCCTTTTAAGTATCATTACCCTGGATCCTCCACCTTATCTATTGACCATACCCTATCACCCTGGTGTTATCTACCCTTTTAAGTATCATTACCCTGGATCCTCCACCTTATCTATTGACCATACCCTATCATCCTGGTCTTATCTCCCCTTTTAATATCATTACCCTGGATCTTCCACCGTATCTATTGACCATACCCTATCACCCTGGTGTTATCTACCCTTTTTAGTATAATTACCCTGGATCTTCCACCTTATCTATTGACCATACTCTATCACCCTGGTGTTATCTCCCCTTTTTAGTATCATTAACCTGGATCTTCCACCTTATCTATATACATACCCTATCACCCTGGTGTTATCTCCCCTTTTTAATATCCTTACCCTGGATCTTCCACCTTATCTATTGACCACATTAACCTGGATCTTCCACCTTATCTATATACATACCCTATCACCCTGGTGTTTCCTGGATCTTCCACCTTATCTTTTGACCATCTTCCACCTTATTTATTGACCATACCTTATCACCCTGGTGTTATCTCCCCTTTTTAGTATCATAACCCTGGATCTTCCACCTTATCTATTGACCATACCCTATCATCCTGGTCTTATCTCCCCTTTTTAATATCCTTACCCTGGATCTTCCACCTTATCTATTGACCATACCCTATCATCCTGGTCTTATCTCCCCTTTTTAATATCCTTACCCTGGATCTTCCACCTTATCTATTGACCATACCCTATCATCCTGGTCTTATCTCCCCTTTTTAATATCCTTACCCTGGATCTTCCACCTTATCTATTGACCATACCCTATCATCCTGGTCTTATCTCCCCTTTTTAATATCCTTACCCTGGATCTTCCACCTTATCTATTGACCATACCCTATCATCCTGGTCTTATCTCCCCTTTTTAATATCCTTACCCTGGATCTTCCACCTTATCTATTGACCATACCCTATCATCCTGGTCTTATCTCCCCTTTTTAATATCCTTACCCTGGATCTTCCACCTTATCTATTGACCATACCCTATCATCCTGGTCTTATCTCCCCTTTTTAATATCCTTACCCTGGATCTTCCACCTTATCTATTGACCATACCCTATCATCCTGGTCTTATCTCCCCTTTTTAATATCCTTACCCTGGATCTTCCACCTTATCTATTGACCATACCCTATCATCCTGGTCTTATCTCCCCTTTTTAATATCCTTACCCTGGATCTTCCACCTTATCTATTGACCATACCCTATCATCCTGGTCTTATCTCCCCTTTTTAATATCCTTACCCTGGATCTTCCACCTTATCTATTGACCATACCCTATCATCCTGGTCTTATCTCCCCTTTTTAATATCCTTACCCTGGATCTTCCACCTTATCTATTGACCATACCCTATCATCCTGGTCTTATCTCCCCTTTTTAATATCCTTACCCTGGATCTTCCACCTTATCTATTGACCATACCCTATCATCCTGGTCTTATCTCCCCTTTTTAATATCCTTACCCTGGATCTTCCACCTTATCTATTGACCATACCCTATCATCCTGGTCTTATCTCCCCTTTTTAATATCCTTACCCTGGATCTTCCACCTTATCTATTGACCATACCCTATCATCCTGGTCTTATCTCCCCTTTTTAATATCCTTACCCTGGATCTTCCACCTTATCTATTGACCATACCCTATCATCCTGGTCTTATCTCCCCTTTTTAATATCCTTACCCTGGATCTTCCACCTTATCTATTGACCATACCCTATCATCCTGGTCTTATCTCCCCTTTTTAATATCCTTACCCTGGATCTTCCACCTTATCTATTGACCATACCCTATCATCCTGGTCTTATCTCCCCTTTTTAATATCCTTACCCTGGATCTTCCACCTTATCTATTGACCATACCCTATCATCCTGGTCTTATCTCCCCTTTTTAATATCCTTACCCTGGATCTTCCACCTTATCTATTGACCATACCCTATCATCCTGGTCTTATCTCCCCTTTTTAATATCCTTACCCTGGATCTTCCACCTTATCTATTGACCATACCCTATCATCCTGGTCTTATCTCCCCTTTTTAATATCCTTACCCTGGATCTTCCACCTTATCTATTGACCATACCCTATCATCCTGGTCTTATCTCCCCTTTTTAATATCCTTACCCTGGATCTTCCACCTTATCTATTGACCATACCCTATCATCCTGGTCTTATCTCCCCTTTTTAATATCCTTACCCTGGATCTTCCACCTTATCTATTGACCATACCCTATCATCCTGGTCTTATCTCCCCTTTTTAATATCCTTACCCTGGATCTTCCACCTTATCTATTGACCATACCCTATCATCCTGGTCTTATCTCCCCTTTTTAATATCCTTACCCTGGATCTTCCACCTTATCTATTGACCATACCCTATCATCCTGGTCTTATCTCCCCTTTTTAATATCCTTACCCTGGATCTTCCACCTTATCTATTGACCATACCCTATCATCCTGGTCTTATCTCCCCTTTTTAATATCCTTACCCTGGATCTTCCACCTTATCTATTGACCATACCCTATCATCCTGGTCTTATCTCCCCTTTTTAATATCCTTACCCTGGATCTTCCACCTTATCTATTGACCATACCCTATCATCCTGGTCTTATCTCCCCTTTTTAATATCCTTACCCTGGATCTTCCACCTTATCTATTGACCATACCCTATCATCCTGGTCTTATCTCCCCTTTTTAATATCCTTACCCTGGATCTTCCACCTTATCTATTGACCATACCCTATCATCCTGGTCTTATCTCCCCTTTTTAATATCCTTACCCTGGATCTTCCACCTTATCTATTGACCATACCCTATCATCCTGGTCTTATCTCCCCTTTTTAATATCCTTACCCTGGATCTTCCACCTTATCTATTGACCATACCCTATCATCCTGGTCTTATCTCCCCTTTTTAATATCCTTACCCTGGATCTTCCACCTTATCTATTGACCATACCCTATCATCCTGGTCTTATCTCCCCTTTTTAATATCCTTACCCTGGATCTTCCACCTTATCTATTGACCATACCCTATCATCCTGGTCTTATCTCCCCTTTTTAATATCCTTACCCTGGATCTTCCACCTTATCTATTGACCATACCCTATCATCCTGGTCTTATCTCCCCTTTTTAATATCCTTACCCTGGATCTTCCACCTTATCTATTGACCATACCCTATCATCCTGGTCTTATCTCCCCTTTTTAATATCCTTACCCTGGATCTTCCACCTTATCTATTGACCATACCCTATCATCCTGGTCTTATCTCCCCTTTTTAATATCCTTACCCTGGATCTTCCACCTTATCTATTGACCATACCCTATCATCCTGGTCTTATCTCCCCTTTTTAATATCCTTACCCTGGATCTTCCACCTTATCTATTGACCATACCCTATCATCCTGGTCTTATCTCCCCTTTTTAATATCCTTACCCTGGATCTTCCACCTTATCTATTGACCATACCCTATCATCCTGGTCTTATCTCCCCTTTTTAATATCCTTACCCTGGATCTTCCACCTTATCTATTGACCATACCCTATCATCCTGGTCTTATCTCCCCTTTTTAATATCCTTACCCTGGATCTTCCACCTTATCTATTGACCATACCCTATCATCCTGGTCTTATCTCCCCTTTTTAATATCCTTACCCTGGATCTTCCACCTTATCTATTGACCATACCCTATCATCCTGGTCTTATCTCCCCTTTTTAATATCCTTACCCTGGATCTTCCACCTTATCTATTGACCATACCCTATCATCCTGGTCTTATCTCCCCTTTTTAATATCCTTACCCTGGATCTTCCACCTTATCTATTGACCATACCCTATCATCCTGGTCTTATCTCCCCTTTTTAATATCCTTACCCTGGATCTTCCACCTTATCTATTGACCATACCCTATCATCCTGGTCTTATCTCCCCTTTTTAATATCCTTACCCTGGATCTTCCACCTTATCTATTGACCATACCCTATCATCCTGGTCTTATCTCCCCTTTTTAATATCCTTACCCTGGATCTTCCACCTTATCTATTGACCATACCCTATCATCCTGGTCTTATCTCCCCTTTTTAATATCCTTACCCTGGATCTTCCACCTTATCTATTGACCATACCCTATCATCCTGGTCTTATCTCCCCTTTTTAATATCCTTACCCTGGATCTTCCACCTTATCTATTGACCATACCCTATCATCCTGGTCTTATCTCCCCTTTTTAATATCCTTACCCTGGATCTTCCACCTTATCTATTGACCATACCCTATCATCCTGGTCTTATCTCCCCTTTTTAATATCCTTACCCTGGATCTTCCACCTTATCTATTGACCATACCCTATCATCCTGGTCTTATCTCCCCTTTTTAATATCCTTACCCTGGATCTTCCACCTTATCTATTGACCATACCCTATCATCCTGGTCTTATCTCCCCTTTTTAATATCCTTACCCTGGATCTTCCACCTTATCTATTGACCATACCCTATCATCCTGGTCTTATCTCCCCTTTTTAATATCCTTACCCTGGATCTTCCACCTTATCTATTGACCATACCCTATCATCCTGGTCTTATCTCCCCTTTTTAATATCCTTACCCTGGATCTTCCACCTTATCTATTGACCATACCCTATCATCCTGGTCTTATCTCCCCTTTTTAATATCCTTACCCTGGATCTTCCACCTTATCTATTGACCATACCCTATCATCCTGGTCTTATCTCCCCTTTTTAATATCCTTACCCTGGATCTTCCACCTTATCTATTGACCATACCCTATCATCCTGGTCTTATCTCCCCTTTTTAATATCCTTACCCTGGATCTTCCACCTTATCTATTGACCATACCCTATCATCCTGGTCTTATCTCCCCTTTTTAATATCCTTACCCTGGATCTTCCACCTTATCTATTGACCATACCCTATCATCCTGGTCTTATCTCCCCTTTTTAATATCCTTACCCTGGATCTTCCACCTTATCTATTGACCATACCCTATCATCCTGGTCTTATCTCCCCTTTTTAATATCCTTACCCTGGATCTTCCACCTTATCTATTGACCATACCCTATCATCCTGGTCTTATCTCCCCTTTTTAATATCCTTACCCTGGATCTTCCACCTTATCTATTGACCATACCCTATCATCCTGGTCTTATCTCCCCTTTTTAATATCCTTACCCTGGATCTTCCACCTTATCTATTGACCATACCCTATCATCCTGGTCTTATCTCCCCTTTTTAATATCATTACCCTGGATCTTCCACCTTATCTATTGACCATACCCTATCATCCTGGTCTTATCTCCCCTTTTTAATATCATTACCCTGGATCTTCCACCTTATCTATTGACCATACCCTATCATCCTGGTCTTATCTCCCCTTTTTAATATCATTACCCTGGATCTTCCACCTTATCTATTGACCATACCCTATCATCCTGGTCTTATCTCCCCTTTTTAATATCATTACCCTGGATCTTCCACCTTATCTATTGACCATACCCTATCACCCTGGTCTTATCTCCCCTTTTTAATATCATTACCCTGGATCTTCCACCTTATCTATTGACCATACCCTATCACCCTGGTCTTATCTCCCCTTTTTAATATCATTACCCTGGATCTTCCACCTTATCTATTGACCATACCCTATCACCCTGGTCTTATCTCCCCTTTTTAATATCATTACCCTGGATCTTCCACCTTATCTATTGACCATACCCTATCACCCTGGTCTTATCTCCCCTTTTTAATATCATTACCCTGGATCTTCCACCTTATCTATTGACCATACCCTATCACCCTGGTCTTATCTCCCCTTTTTAATATCATTACCCTGGATCTTCCACCTTATCTATTGACCATACCCTATCACCCTGGTCTTATCTCCCCTTTTTAATATCCTTACCCTGGATCTTCCACCTTATCTATTGACCATACCCTATCACCCTGGTCTTATCTCCCCTTTTTAATATCATTACCCTGGATCTTCCACCTTATCTATTGACCATACCCTATCACCCTGGTCTTATCTCCCCTTTTTAATATCATTACCCTGGATCTTCCACCTTATCTATTGACCATACCCTATCACCCTGGTCTTATCTCCCCTTTTTAATATCATTACCCTGGATCTTCCACCTTATCTATTGACCATACCCTATCACCCTGGTCTTATCTCCCCTTTTTAATATCATTACCCTGGATCTTCCACCTTATCTATTGACCATACCCTATCACCCTGGTCTTATCTCCCCTTTTTAATATCATTACCCTGGATCTTCCACCTTATCTTTTGACCATACCCTATCACCCTGGTCTTATCTCCCCTTTTTAATATCCTTACCCTGGATCTTCCACCTTATCTATTGACCATACCCTATCACCCTGGTGTTATCTACCCTTTAAAGTATCATTACCCTGGATACTCCACCTTATCTATTGACCATACTCTATCACCCTGGATCCTCCACCTTATCTATTGACCATACTCTTTCACCCTGGATCTTCCACCTTATCTTTTGACCATACCCTATCACCCTGGTGTTATCTCCCCGTTTGAATATCATTACCCTGGATCTTCCACCTTATCTATTGACTATACCCTATCATCCTGGTCTTATCTCCCCTTTTTAGTATCATTACCCTGGATCTTCCACCTTATCTGTTGACCATACTTTATCACCCTGGATCCTCCACCTTATCTATTGACCATACTCTATCATCCTGGATCTTCCACCTTATCTTTTGACCATTCCCTATCACCCTGGTCTTATCTCCCCTTTTTAGTATCATTACCCTTGATCTTCCACCTTATCTACTGACCATACCCTATCACCCTGGTCTTATCTCCCCTTTTTAATATCCTTATCCTGGATCTTCTACTTTTCTTATGACCATGGCCCTCCCCATGGATGTTTCTATTAATTACTACACTCCCACCCCAGTAGTTTTCTAATGACCATGACCCTCCCCATGGATGTTTCTATTAATCACTACACTCCTACCCCAGTACTTTTCTAATGACCATGGCCCTCCCCATGGATCTTTCTATTAATTACTACACTCCTACACCAGTACTTTTCTAATGACCATGGCCCTCCCCATGGATGTTTCTATTAATTACTACACTCCCACCCCAGTAGTTTTCTACTGACCATGACACTCCCCATGGATGTTTCTATTAATCACTACACTACTACCCCAGTACTTTTCTAATGACCATGGCCCTCCCCATGGATGTTTCTATTAATTACTACACTCCTACCCCAGTACTTTTTTAATTGCCATGGCCCTCCCCATGGATGTTTCTATTAATTACTACACCACTACCCCAGTATTTTTCTAATGACCATGGCCCTCCCCATGGATGTTTCTATTAATAACTACACTCCTACCCCAGTACTTTTCTAATGACAATGGCCTTCCCCATGGACGTTTCTATTAATTACTACACTCCTACCCCAGTACTTTTCTAATGACCATGGCCCTCCCCATGGATGTTTCTATTAATTACTACACCCCTACCCCAGTACTTTTCTAATGACCATGGCCCTCCCTATCGACGTTTCTATTAATTACTACACTCCCACCCAGTACTTTTCTAATGACCATGGCCTTCCCCATGGATGTTTCTATTAATTACTACACCGCTACCCCAGTACTTTTCTAATGGCCATGGCCCTCCCCATGGATGTGTCTATTAATTACTACACTCCCACCCCAGTACTTTTCAGGGATGTTTCTATTAATTACTACACTCCGACCCCAGTACTTTTCTAATGACCATGGCCCTTTTCTAATGACCATGACCCTCCCCATGGATGTTTCTATTAATCACTACACTCCTACACCAGTACTTTTCTAATGACCATGGCCCTCCCCAGGGATGTTTCTATTAATTACTACACTCCGACCCCAGTACTTTTCTAATGACCATGGCCCTCCCAATGGACGTTTCTATTAATTACTACATTCCCCCCCCAGTACTTTTCTAATGACCATGGCCCTCCCTATGGACGTTTCTATTAATTACTACATTCCCACCCCAGTACTTTTCTAATGACCATGGCCCTCCCTATGGACGTTTCTATTAATTACTACACTCCTACCCACCTTATCTATTGACCATACCCTATCACCCTGGTGTTATCTCCCCTTTTTAATATCCTTACCCTGGATCTTCTACTTTTCTTATGACCATGGCCCTCCCCATGGATGTTTCTATTACTTACTACACGCCTACCCCAGTACTTTTCTAATGACCATGGCCATCCCTATGGACGTTTCTATTAATTACTACGCTCCCACCCCAGTACTTTTCTAATGACCATGGCCATCCCTATGGACGTTTCTATTAATTACTACGCTCCCACCCCAGTACTTTTCTAATGACCATGGCCCTCACCATGGATGTTTCTATTAATTACTACACCGCTACCCCAGTACTTTTCTAATGACCATGGCCCCCCCCCTGGATGTTTCTATTAATTACTACACTTCTATCACCCTGGATCCTCCACCTTATCTGTTGACCATACTCTTTCACCCTGGATCTTCCACCTTATCTTTTGACCATACCCTATCACCCTGGTGTTATCTCCCCTTTTTAATATCCTTACCCTGGATCTTCTACTTTTCTTATGACCATGGCCCTCCCCATGGATGTTTCTATTAATTACTACACCGCTACCCCAGTACTTTTCTAATTACCATGGCCCTCCCCATGGATGTTTCTATTAATTACTACACTCCTACTTAATTACTACACTCCTACCCCAGTACTTTTCTAATGACCATGACCCTCCCCATGGATGTTTCTATTAATTACTACTCCGCTACCCCAGTACTTTTCTAATTACCATGGCCCTCCCCATGGATGTTTCTATTAATTACTACACTCCTACTTAATTACTACACTCCTACCCCAGTACTTTTCTAATTACGATGGCCCTCCCCATGGATGTTTCTATTAATTACTACTCCGCTACCCCAGTACTTTTCTAATTACCATGGCCCTCCCCATGGATGTTTCTATTAATTACTACACTCCTACCCCAGTACTTTTTCATCTCACTCCCCTCCCCCAATCTGGCCTGGATGTGTCATTAAAACATTTCACAAAATAATTACCTCATGAAACAGGTCCACAATGTCTGTGTAGTAGTCTTCTTGTTTAAAATGCCTTTTCAAGATGGCATAAACACAGTTTTCCATGTAAAATGAGTCATTGATGGCAATCAATCCAACACCTTCCTGAAATGATAAATTAAATGTTACCAAATTTCTGGTTAATCACCAGCATCAATAAGGCCAAACCCAGTTACTTGTATCATAACCTTATTGACCTTTTTGTACCAGCACGGTTTCCCTCTGTATCATTATCTTGTTGTCCTATTAGAAACCCTACCTTTTTGTACCAGCACGGTTTCCCTCTGTATCATTATCTTGTCGTCCTATTAGAAACCCTACCTTTTTGTACCAGCACGGTTTCCCTCTGTATCATTATCTTGTCGTCCTATTAGAAACCCTACCTTTTTGTACCAGCACGGTTTCCCTCTGTGAGTGATTGACTTATCCATCACATCATCAGCAACAAGGAAGAAGGCTTGTAACTAAAATTCAAAAAACATTATCAACTTCAAGTTCTTCACTTGTTTATATAATATTAAACACAAGAATGTATCAATACTATATTGACACCCAGATATAATATCAACCAACTTTTATTTATATAGTATCTGTATCTGTGTATACAAGTAGAGGCAGATATCTGAAGCCTGAATCCATCATATACATGCACACCATTCATCTACGCTGTCCTGTGTCATCTCGCTTTGTGTGTACTGTCTGAGTTCACTCTCTGTGTACATACCCATTCTACACACCAGCCCAGTACTCTCTGTGTACATACCCATTCTACACACCAGCCAAGTACTCTCTGTGTACATACCCATTCTACACACCAGCCCAGTACTCTCTGTGTACATACCCATTCTACACACCAGCCCAGTACTCTCTGTGTACATACCCATTCTACACACCAGCCCAGTACTCTCTGTGTACATACCCATTCTACACACCAGCCAAGTACTCTCTGTGTACATACCCATTCTACACACCAGCCAAGTACTCTCTGTGTACATACCCATTCTACACACCAGCCAAGTACTCTCTGTGTACATACCCATTCTACACACCAGCCAAGTACTCTCTGTGTACATACCCATTCTACACACCAGCCAAGTACTCTCTGTGTACATACCCATTCTACACACCAGCCAAGTACTCTCTGTGTACATACCCATTCTACACACCAGCCAAGTACTCTCTGTGTACATACCCATTCTACACACCAGCCAAGTACTCTCTGTGTACATACCCATTCTACACACCAGCCAAGTACTCTCTGTGTACATACCCATTCTACACACCAGCCAAGTACTCTCTGTGTACATACCCATTCTACACACCAGCCAAGTACTCTCTGTGTACATACCCATTCTACACACCAGCCAAGTACTCTCTGTGTACATACCCATTCTACACACCAGCCAAGTACTCTCTGTGTACATACCCATTCTACACACCAGCCAAGTACTCTCTGTGTACATACCCATTCTACACACCAGCCAAGTACTCTCTGTGTACATACCCATTCTACACACCAGCCAAGTACTCTCTGTGTACATACCCATTCTACACACCAGCCAAGTACTCTCTGTGTACATACCCATTCTACACACCAGCCAAGTACTCTCTGTGTACATACCCATTCTACACACCAGCCAAGTACTCTCTGTGTACATACCCATTCTACACACCAGCCAAGTACTCTCTGTGTACATACCCATTCTACACACCAGCCAAGTACTCTCTGTGTACATACCCATTCTACACACCAGCCAAGTACTCTCTGTGTACATACCCATTCTACACACCAGCCAAGTACTCTCTGTGTACATACCCATTCTACACACCAGCCAAGTACTCTCTGTGTACATACCCATTCTACACACCAGCCAAGTACTCTCTGTGTACATACCCATTCTACACACCAGCCAAGTACTCTCTGTGTACATACCCATTCTACACACCAGCCAAGTACTCTCTGTGTACATACCCATTCTACACACCAGCCAAGTACTCTCTGTGTACATACCCATTCTACACACCAGCCAAGTACTCTCTGTGTACATACCCATTCTACACACCAGCCAAGTACTCTCTGTGTACATACCCATTCTACACACCAGCCAAGTACTCTCTGTGTACATACCCATTCTACACACCAGCCAAGTACTCTCTGTGTACATACCCATTCTACACACCAGCCAAGTACTCTCTGTGTACATACCCATTCTACACACCAGCCAAGTACTCTCTGTGTACATACCCATTCTACACACCAGCCAAGTACTCTCTGTGTACATACCCATTCTACACACCAGCCAAGTACTCTCTGTGTACATACCCATTCTACACACCAGCCAAGTACTCTCTGTGTACATACCCATTCTACACACCAGCCAAGTACTCTCTGTGTACATACCCATTCTACACACCAGCCAAGTACTCTCTGTGTACATACCCATTCTACACACCAGCCAAGTACTCTCTGTGTACATACCCATTCTACACACCAGCCAAGTACTCTCTGTGTACATACCCATTCTACACACCAGCCAAGTACTCTCTGTGTACATACCCATTCTACACACCAGCCAAGTACTCTCTGTGTACATACCCATTCTACACACCAGCCAAGTACTCTCTGTGTACATACCCATTCTACACACCAGCCAAGTACTCTCTGTGTACATACCCATTCTACACACCAGCCAAGTACTCTCTGTGTACATACCCATTCTACACACCAGCCAAGTACTCTCTGTGTACATACCCATTCTACACACCAGCCAAGTACTCTCTGTGTACATACCCATTCTACACACCAGCCAAGTACTCTCTGTGTACATACCCATTCTACACACCAGCCAAGTACTCTCTGTGTACATACCCATTCTACACACCAGCCAAGTACTCTCTGTGTACATACCCATTCTACACACCAGCCAAGTACTCTCTGTGTACATACCCATTCTACACACCAGCCAAGTACTCTCTGTGTACATACCCATTCTACACACCAGCCAAGTACTCTCTGTGTACATACCCATTCTACACACCAGCCAAGTACTCTCTGTGTACATACCCATTCTACACACCAGCCAAGTACTCTCTGTGTACATACCCATTCTACACACCAGCCAAGTACTCTCTGTGTACATACCCATTCTACACACCAGCCAAGTACTCTCTGTGTACATACCCATTCTACACACCAGCCCAGTACTCTCTGTGTACATACCCATTCTACACACCAGCCAAGTACTCTCTGTGTACATACCCATTCTACACACCAGCCAAGTACTCTCTGTGTACATACCCATTCTACACACCAGCCGAGTACTCTCTGTGTACATACCCATTCTACACACCAGCCAAGTACTCTCTGTGTACATACCCATTCTACACACCAGCCCAGTACTCTGGCCTGTCTGAGTTCACTCTCTGTGGCGTCAGTATTAATCCTCTTATAGGTCATCACCACCGACAGGCCACGGTTCTTCTTCCCAAATGGTACATTGTACAGGCATACCTTACAATGAAAAAGGACAGAACTTTCAATAATATTCCTTCATAGTATGATTAAAATCAACCCGTTTTTTTCCATGAATGTAATGAAAATTATTTATTGTTTTCGTTAGTTTTACAGCACTCTAAAATTATTGCTTCAAAGTCATATTTTTAAATACTTAGCAGCATGCAACCACACAAGAAAATAAAAGTGTAAGGAGAATTTGCATCAAGTTCAGCCAATGTTTGAAGTCAATGACATCTAAATATAGGAACTTTCATTTATATCAATTTAAGCATATCAAATTGATCAATGTCTGTTGAATCAGATAGTGTATTACAAAACACTGTGCACATAAAGTGAAAGTTTGAAGCTTCAGTATAGCATACAACAGGCAACAGACTTTGGCTAGATCTACAATTTATTACCAATTCAATCAAAATATGCATAAAGGACAATGGTCAGCTTCAACATCTGTCAACTCAGTCATAAACTTACCTCTCAAGTCTGGACACAACACTACCTCTGTAAAAAAAAATCTATTTTTTTTTCATTATTTCAATTCAACAGACCTGAGGGTCCAATTAAAGAATTGATAACAATAATATAGTAAAATATCACAGCTAAAGACAAGACAGAGACTTACCTCTCTAATATGGACACAAAACTACCTCTCTAATTATCTGGACAAACACTTACCTTTCTATTCTAAACACAGCTTTACCTCTTAAGTCTAAATACAGCTTTACCTCTCTAATCTGAACACAGCCTTACTTCTTTAGTCTGAACACAGCTTTACCTCTCTAATCTGAACACATTCCTACCTCTTTAGTCTAAACACAGCATTACCTCTTTAGTCTGAGAACAGCCTTACCTCTCTAATCTGAACACAGCCTTACCTCTCTAATCTGAGAACAGCCTTTATACCTCTTTAGTCTGAACACAGCCTTACCTCTTTAGTCTAAACACAGCCTTACTTCTTAAGTCTGAACACAGCCTTACCTCTTTAGTCTGAACACAGCCTTACCTCTTTAGTAACACAGCCTTACCTCTTTAGTCTAAACACAGCCTTACTTCTTTAGTCTGAACACAGCCTTACCTCTTTAGTCTGAACACAGCCTTACCTCTTTAGTCTGAACACAGCCTTACCTCTTTAGTCTGAACACAGCCTTACCTCTTTAGTCTGAACACAGCCTTACCTCTTTAGTCTGAACACAGCCTTACCTCTTTAGTCTGAACACAGCCTTACCTCTTTAGTCTGAACACAGCCTTACCTCTTTAGTCTGAACACAGCCTTACCTCTTTAGTCTGAACACAGCCTTACCTCTTTAGTCTGAACACAGCCTTACCTCTTTAGTCTGAACACAGCCTTACCTCTTTAGTCTGAACACAGCCTTACCTCTTTAGTCTGAACACAGCCTTACCTCTTTAGTCTGAACACAGCCTTACCTCTTTAGTCTGAACACAGCCTTACCTCTTTAGTCTGAACACAGCCTTACCTCTTTAGTCTGAACACAGCCTTACCTCTTTAGTCTGAACACAGCCTTACCTCTTTAGTCTGAACACAGCCTTACCTCTCTAATCTGAACAAATTGCCTTACCTCTTTAGTCTGAACACAGCCTTACCTCTTTAGTCTGAACATAGCCTTACCCCTTTAGTCTGAACACAGCCTTACCTCTTTAGTCTGAACACAGCCTTACCTCTTTAGTCTGAACACACCCTTACCTCTTTAAACCAATCAACTGCAGCTGATATTTCCTTGTGTTGTTTCCCTTGGTTTACAAGTCCTTCTACCAAATCTGTGAATACTGCATCAAATTCTTCCAGTTCAGTCCCAGATGTTTTGAGACGCTTCACTTTTGGATCTTTTCTATTGAGATTGCAACCATTACTATTGGTTTCCATAACAACTATCTGTGGGAAATAAACTATATTATTAACCCTTTTAACAAAACATAGGAGTGACAGCTGGCCTGGGACCACTAAGTACTCTTGCTATATCATTTTCAGGTTAACATAAGCAACAAATGTTATTACAGTTGTTTCAGTTTAGATATATATTGTACATTGTAATTAATACCTTACACATTGTACATTGTATTACCCTACACATTGTACATTGTAATACCCTACACATTGTACATTGTCATACCCTACACATTGTACATTGTAATACCTTAAACATTGTACATTGTAATACCCTACACATTATACATTGTAATACCCTTCACATTGTACATGGTAATACCCTACACATTATACATTGTAATTCCCTACACATTATACATTGTAATACCCTACACATTATACATTGTAATTCCCTACACATTATACATTGTAATACCCTACACATTATACATTGTAATACCCTACACATTATACATTGTAATTCCCTACACATTATACATTGTAATACCCTACACATTGTACATAGTAATACCCTACACGTTGTACATTGTAATACCCTACACATTGTACATAGTAATACCCTACACGTTGTACATTGTAATACCCTACACATTGTACATTGTAATACCTTAAACATTGTACATTGTAATACCCTACACATTATACATTGTAATACCCTACACATTATACATTGTAATTCCCTACACATTATACATTGTAATACCCTACACATTGTACATGGTAATACACTACACATTGTACATTATAATACCCTACACATTGTACATTGTAATACACTATACATTGTACATTGTAATACCCTTCACATTCTACATTGTAATACCCTACACATTGTACATAGTAATACCCTTCACATTGTACATGGTAATACACTACACATTGTACATTATAATACCCTACACATTGTACATTGTAATACCCTTCACATTGTACATTGTAATACCCTTCACATTGTACATAGTTATACCCTACACATTGTACATTGTAATACCCCACACATTATACATTGTAATACCCTACACATTGTACATTGTTATACCCTACACATTGTACATTGTAATACCCCACACATTATACATTGTAATACCCTACACATTGTACATAGTAATACCCTACACATTGTGCATTGTAATACCCTACACATTGTACATTGTTATACCCTACACATTATACATTGTAATACCCTTCACATTGTACATGGTAATACACTACACATTATACATTGTAATACCCTACACATTATACATTGTAATTCCCTACACATTATACATTGTAATACCCTACACATTATACATTGTAATTCCCTACACATTATACATTGTAATACCCTACACATTATACATTGTAATTCCCTACACATTATACATTGTAATACCCTACACATTATACATTGTAATACCCTACACATTGTACATGGTAATACACTACACATTATACATTGTAATACCCTTCACATTGTACATTGTAATACCCTTCACATTGTACATGGTAATACACTACACATTGTACATTATAATACCCTACACATTGTACATTGTAATACCCTACACATTGTACATTGTAATACCCTTCACATTGTACATTGTAATACCCTATACAATATTTCGGAGTGTTAGGTCAATGACCCTGAGATTATATTTCTGTTACATGTAGATCCTGAATGTCATTTATACAAGTAAATGTCATCATTCAAACGTGTATCACAATAACAGGTTCTCAGGCGATATCTATCGATAGTGTTTATATTTACATTACAAATGACATTATTTTTAAAAACTGCTTTTTTTAATATAACATTGAAATATTATCATAAATATGCATTTGGCTTTTTCATAAGTGATTAAAATTTAACTATGAAATTTACATTTAAACAATATTCTTTAAAATAATACAGATGTCAATTCTTCAGATATAGTGAAGACCTGATCATGTTTAGATATATATCAAGTAAAAGGTGGGGTCAACTTTGGCCCCCACTTTGATTTCTTTTATTCTTTTGCCATATGTAGATACATAAAAATGATCAATAACTGCATCAACGATTATTCATAATTACAACTGAAAACCGTAGTGGACCTCCTTGCATAACACAAGGTTGAGTGATGGGGGTACCGTAACGAAATTATAGATAAATGTCACAGGCGAATGCTATTTTGAAAATGAATTATGATTGTGTACAGTGTATAAAATTACTGTAAAATTGATACTAAATATGTCATATTGGTATATATAAAGTAAGCGTAGTGATACTTTTATTTAGAAAAACATGCAAAATTTTCACAAAATTTTCAATCTAATCAACATTGTGAACTTGCCTATATATAGTTACAGTGGTAGTCTATATTTTAAACTTCTTAAAAAACTTCCCATATACGTATTTTGTCAACTGAATCATTTTTATGCAATATAAAAACCGGTGAAGTACTTTATTAGCATGCCAAACATGATCAACGCCCAATTTCACATAATCTTGAAGATTTTATTATCAATGTTTATTATGGTAAAAACCGATACATTTTCTGCTTTTGTATCATACCAAAACACTTTATTATATTACGCATGTTTTAAAGTTATGTGCAGTAGTTATAACTCATGAATATGTATTCTGCCAAAGTAATCTTTCTTCTGGAGAACTACTTAAGGTTGAGATTGTGTTATAGATAGATATATGCACTTATATAAAAATACCCAAATAATCTTAACAGTAAATCTATTATACACTTTATAATACCCCCTGCAACAAAGTTAGAGGGTATGCTGGAATCAGTGTGTCTGTCTGTCTGTCCGTTAAAAAAAGATTGTCTCGACTACTCCTTCTAAAGTAATGGACCAATTTCAGCGAAAGTTTCCAGATATGATAACTATCACCTCAAGTTATGCATACAGGTATTATGTTTTCATTCTGATCCTTTGTTTTACAGAGTTATGGCCCTTTGATGTTGTTTTTGTCCAGACATATCCTCCAAAACTAAGGGGTCAATTTTAATGAAATTTTTCAGATATAATAACTTCCACCTGATGGTGTGCATCCAGGTAAAAAAACAAAACAATATGACCCTTTTTAACAGAGTAATGGCCCTTTGTTGAAAAATACTTGTCCTGACAACTCCTCCAAAACTATGCAGCCAATTTCAACAAAAGTTTACAGATATGGTAACTGCCCCCTGACATAGTGCATCCAAATAGTATGTTTTATTCCGAACCTTTAAAAAGGAATTATGACCCTTTGTAGAAAAAGAACCTTTGTCTGCCTCATAAACTACTGGGCCAATTTCAATGAATGTTTACAGATATGGTAATTATACCCCTTTATGTCCTGCATCAGGGTAGTACATTTTTCATTTCGACCCTTTTTAAGGAGATATGGCCTTTTGTTAAAAATCTTTTTCTTGACAACTCTTCCTTAACTACTAGGACGACTTAAGCAAAACTGGTTCATCGTGGGTAACATGATTTGGTATGAAAGTATGTTTTGGCATGGGGAGGGAATACAGGAAGTATGTCAATGACAAATATTCTTAAATATAAGAATCTATAGGGGGGGGGCTATGTATTGCAATGCTTTGCCTTAGTTAGCCTTTAGCTTACATTCTGGGTTATATCGGAGTGGGGGTATTAGTTAATCTTTGACTTACAGCTCTAGTTATTATTTGATTTGGCCTATTGCCCATTCATTAAACAAGATGTGGAGGAATATTACATTATTTTATATCATTAACTCTAAACAAATAAAGCAAGGAAAGGTATCATTGTCTGACTCCCCATACAAAAAATATTTCAGCACATTTGATTTTTGTGACCTTGAGCAAAGTTCAAGGTCATCAACATTTACAAAATTTAAATCAATTCACATGAAATATCTACTTGCCAAATATCAAGATATGAAGAAACACAAGTTAAAGGAAAAATGGAAAGAAAGTTATGTATTTCTTTTTTTGAATCAAAAAGTGTTATATGACAAATTTACCGGTTGTCAATTTTCTTGAAATTCCTGATGTTGAAAGATATTATTGGTAGCCAATTGTTAAGCAAGTATGAAATATAGACTGGTTTTAGAACTAAGTAAATTAACGTGTCGAAAATAGAAATTTTCTCATTAGTAATGAAATTTCACATACTTTTCTGCTTAAATCTTCAATAAAAAGAACAACTCTTTCTTGAAATTGTGTAATATTCGGTATCAAAATGAAAGTTGGAATATGTTGCACGCGATGATGATATAATTTTATAGTAATTATTTAATTTAAATGTTCTAGGAGGAATTGTGCATGCATCGCCTTTCAGCCACGGCCATTCACCATCCAGTGTGTCGGGGGCTACACAAGAGCAGACCATTACTTGTTAGTTGTAAGTATACTAGAGAGCGAGCTTTCAATGATGGTATATGTCTGAATAAGACTGTTACCCATTACGATCACTCAGTCGAAAGTATCATAATACCTTTCAAGGGCGAGCTTTCATGTTGCTTCGGGTCCACTACAATTGATAAATCAAGACGGCACTGTGAGAGCTTGTTAGATTGCTATAAGGAGTTATAGGAACCTGGAGTCGTCAGGATAACTCAAGGTTAGCAAGAGGATTTCTACAGATTGTACAGTATAGGTGTACATGAGGTTAGTGGTGCCAAAAAAAAAAAAAAATCTTTGTAGAGAGACATCTGCTGCATACGTACCGACGAGCAGAGTATCAACAGTACAGGTGGTAAAGAACTGTGTGTGTGTTGCGGTGACAGGGCAGTGAGAGATCAGCGAGCACTCGGCCTTGTGTGTATATATATGCATGCTCTGAGCGATCAGTAGTATGAGCGCTCAGTTAGATTAGTATTAGGTGTTTTATTGTTCTATACGTAGTTATTTTGCATCTATACTAGAATATTGATACCTCCCAGTTGGGGTAGGTATAGTACTAACATTAATACCCGGCCTCCACTTCCCTGGTCGGACGGCGCAATATATATATATAAAAAAAAAACTCTCTTCGTCAGAAAGCTACATTATCGCAGCTAGAGTAGGTATACTCAACGTAATCTCCAGTGTGACTGGTATCATAGGGCGTCACACTATAATTACGGAATAAGATGCTATCTTAATCCGTGCTACAATATATCATGATCTTAGGCTCATATTTTCATAACATCTCCCCCTCCCTGAAGCCTGTTTGGATAAGAGGGGGGCTAACGTTATAGCCTGTAACATGTTCGTCTGCAAACACAGAGAACGATTAAAAAAAAACATTTACTATAAGGATCGTGATACTTACTTTTTTTAATGTCTTGTATAACGTTTCTAACACATGTGTCCTCTAACCTCCTTCTTCTTTCGTTTCACCTTATATTTGAAGAAACCGTACGAGGTATATCGAAGGAAGAAGTTCCGAAAGAACTCTATTTTAAGATCCAAATCATAAAACACCCCATGTGACTTGTAACGTGCTATATATATATGCCTATCACATATTCACGTGTTTATTGATAAATAGCTTCGTAACAGAAACGAATTCGATTTAGACATTATTCCCATAAAACTTTTTTTTTTAATTGATTTCCCGTCGAAAAAACATGTCTTTTTTAGCGAACGCACCTGCAATTGTTTTCGTATTTCGCAATTTTTCATGGATTTATTTCAAATAATTAACGTCATTCCGTTGTAATACGGATTTCACGCTTGGTGAGTATTGCAATCAAGTTGTAGGCTTTAAGGTAGCTTATAAAATCGCTCCATATCAATATACGAAAACCATCTGTAAACAACACGAAGCTGGCTCACATTGTGACATTGTGAAAATCAACATGGCGACGACAGGGAAAAAAGAAGATATAATGATTCTCAACCCTGATCCCCCTCCAAAACAGGAAACGGGAAATGTCTCTGCTACTAAACTATCTCAACAATTGCAGAAATTAATGTTGAGGTAGGTAGTGACGTTTGTTAACATTACAGTAGACGAGGGGCCTGTATACTCGGTCTTACGTCTCTGACATGTTGCAAGAATGTTAAGATTCATGGTGATTTAGTATGCTTGATGGTAGCTTTTTTAAGCAATAAGCATACTTAAAATGCGACAACAACCATCGCCAGACAAATCCTTTAAAAAGTGATAAAATTAGCGACATTTAAATAATTGTTACGGTGGCGATTTGTATAACCAGTAAACCACCCATCTGTCAGATACGCACGGGTGATTAATCAGAATTATATTTCCCATATGCACCGTTAGGTCGAATTGCCAAAAGCAAAACAATATTTTCATATTTGCGTTGAAAGACAGTTGATGATGTCAAGTCGTCCTAATTTGAGGTCTTCCTTAACAGTTTAATAGGGTATCAGTTAGTCTCAATTAGTCTTGAGCATCCTTGCATCTTGGTCTTGGTGTGCCCCCCACCTCCCCCCCGCCCCTCCCTTGGGGCAGAGGGGCGGGGCCCAGTAGGGGAAACATAGCCAATTCTTCAAAATCCTTGTCCTTCTGTAGGAATGGCAGGATTTTGTCCCAATTTGGTATGAAGTATTCTTGGGTGAAGGGGAACCAATTTTGTGTAAACGGTGTGTCTAACCCCTCTGGGGGCAGAGAGGTTGGGCCAAATAAGAGATAAAGAGGAATAGCTTTAATATCCTTTTTTCTTCTGTTAGAATGAAGGTATTTTGACCAAATTTGAACAGTAGCATCCTATGCGGAAGGGAAATCAATTTTGTGTAAATGTTGTGTCTGACCCGCCTGGGGCCTGAGAGGTAGGGCCCAATAGGGGAAACATAACAAATTCTTCAAAATCCTTCTTTTCCTGTAGAAATGACAGGTTTTGTCCAATTACATATAAATATAACCCATGACTAACCATATAATACATGTATACTACCAGCAACATCTAGCTATTCCAACTTCAATTTTACTAACATTTCCAGGTGAGCAATACAGGCCCTCTGGGCCTCTTGTTGGGTCTTTGGGCTGATATGGCATGTGATATGACTAAAGCCCTCTGTCTGATATTGGGTCCTTGAGCCGATATGGCATGTGATATGACTAAAGCCCTCTGTCTGATATTGGGTCCTCGGGCTGATATGGCATGTGATATGGATTTTATACCAAGTTTTATTAGGTCACCTGAGCTTTTTTCAAGCGACCTATTCTAAGTGCTTTCCGTCCAATCGCCTTGCGTTGTGCGTCGTCCGTAAACTTTTTACATTTTCAACTTCTTCTCAAGAACCAGTGGATGGAATTTTTTCAAACTTGGTCAGAATCATCCTTGGTAGATGAGGCTACAAATTTGTAAAATTGGGGTTCCTACCCCAACCCCTGGAGCCAGTGTGTGTGTGTAAAGNGGGAAAATTAACCAATACTTCAAAAATCTCCTTCTGCAGACTCAGAGGTACTACAGTCATAATATCTGCATGGAAAGAAAGATCATCAGGGGCTTTATTAGCTCACCTGGTCCAAAGGACCAAGGACCAAGGTGAGCTTATGCCATACCGTGGCGTGTTCGTCAACAATTTCTTTAAACGACTTTGTCTTCTTAACCACTGATTGGAATTTAACTAAATTTGACTGGGAGCATCCCTAGGTGGTGGGAAATCAAAATTGTACAAATGGTGGGGCTGACCCCCCAGGGGGCTGAGGGGCGGGGCCAAAAAGGGGTAATTTGGCTATATTTCTACAAACGACTTCTTCTGTAGAACTATGCACTTATGCACTGGATATCAATCATATTTAATCAAAAGCATTCATGGGATGCAGGGATTTAAAATTGTACAAATGGTGTGGCTGACCCCCCAGGGGGCTGAGAGGTGGGGCCAAAAAGGGTTATTTGGCTATATTGCTTTAAGCGACTTCTTCTCTGGAACTAAGTGATGAATATCAACCATATTAGACTGGAAGCATCCCTAGGTGGTTGGGATTCAGAATTGTACAAATGGTGGGGCTGACCCCCCAGGGGGCTGAGGTTGGGGCCAAAAGGGGGCAATTAGGCTAGATTGCTATAAACGACTTCTTCTGTAGAACTATGCCATGGATATCGATCATATTTGGTCGGAAGCATTCATGGGAGCTAGGCTAGGATTCAAAATTGTGTGAATGGTGGGGCTGCCCCCAGGCTAAGGGTTGGGGCCAAAAAAAGGTTTATTGCCTGGATATGGTTGAGATCCCCACCATATAACCACATTTACAATTGCTGAGTATAAAGAGAAGAATGCACATTTGCTTCCAGGATGGCCCTAGGGTCTGGCCCCACCCTTGGAAACATAGTCCTTGGGCCATAACTTTAAAACGGCTGAGATCCCCACCCCAAAACTATATATACAAATGCTGGGCATAAAGACACGAATGCAATCACGATATTAGAATAGACCCTGGGGTCTGACCGAACCCCTAGGGACTTAGTTTCTTAGTCACAGCTTGGAAACAGTTGAGATCCCCACCCTATAACCATATAGACAATTGCCGATTGCAAAGAGATGAATGCACATATGCTTCCAGGATGGCCTTGGGGACTGCCCCACCCTTGGAGACTTAACCCCTGGGTCATAACTTTGAAATGGTTAAGATCCTCACCCCAAAACTATATATACAAATGCTGGGCAAAAAGAGACAAATGCAGTCATGATATTAGAATTGATCCTGGGGTCTGGCCACAACCGTAGGGACCTAGTTTCTGAGTCACAGCTTGGAACCAGTTGAGATCCCCACCCCATAACCATGCATAAAATTGCTGGACATGAAAAATCGAATACAGATATATATTCTACAAGGATTGACTGGCCTTGGGGTCTGGCATATTCCCTTGGATCTCATTTGGAAAATATTCTGACATGATTGCTTAGATATCCAGGTGAGCGATACAGGCCCTATGGGCCTCTTGTTTAAATTGTAAATTTCAGGACCCCCAAGCTATTCGTTCTCCCTTGGGGAGGGGGTAAAGTTTACTATAGTTTATATAGGGAAATAACACTTTTGGGTATATTTTAACAATTTTCTGTAGGAAATTATTTTTACTTGGTGAGAATTATCCTTGGAGGCAGATGATTTCAAATTGTAAAATTGAGATTCCTACCCCAACCCCTGAGGCCAGGGCTGGGCCCCAAAGGGAACATTAACCAATATTTCAAAATCTTCTTCTCCAGACTCAGAGGTACAGTCAATTTCAGAACCCCCGCGCCATCCGTTCCCCCTTTGGGTGGGGGTAAAGTTTACTGTGGTTTATATAGGGAAATAACACTTTTGGGTATATTTTATCCATTTTCAGCAGAAAATTACTCAAACTTAGTCAGAATCATCTTTGTTGAATGAGGGTATTACATAGTAAAATTGGAATTCCTGCCTCATCCCCAGGGGCTAGGGCAGGGCCCCATATGGAACATTTACCAATACCTTAAAATTCTTATCCTTTGATGAGATGACAAGTATTCGGCTGGCCAGGAAAAAAATAGGGGGCAAGTACAAAAATTATTTCACAGGCCCAAAATGAATATTGGTAGCCCAATTATTTTTATACATCCGTCAAATTTGACGGTAGTATTATGGTATGGCGTTGTCCGTCCGTCTGTCTGGCGTAAACTTTGTTTGTCCGGCAATCTCCTCCTACATTTTTTGACCGATCTATTTGAAACTTGGTATACATGATAATCATGATATGAAGTTGTGTATCCCTTATAAGAATTTTCATTCAACGCTTTTTGCAAAATTTATTGCCTTTTGTTCATTTTCAGTATTTGATTTTTTGTCCAAAGATTTTCTCCCACATCTTTAGCTCACCTGGTCCGAAGGACCATGGTGAGCTTATGCCATATCGCAGCGTCCGTCGTCCGTCCATCGTCCGTCCGTCCGTCGTCCGTCCGTCAACTTTTCCTTTAAAACGCTACTAGTCCTGAACGGGTGTATCCTTAGGCCAAGGGGACTCAATTTTGACAGAGGGGCGGGGCCCAATAGGGGAAATAGAGGTAAAACCTTGAAAATCCTTCTTCTACCGTAGGGATTAAAGGATTTTATTCTAATTTAATCTGGAGCATCCTTGGGCCAAGGGGACTCAATTTTGTTTAAATGGTGGGTGTGGCCCCCTGGGGGCTGGGGGGCGGGGCCCAATAGGGGAAATATAGCAAATTCTTTAAAATCCTTCTACATTTGTAGGAATGCAAGGATTTGTTCCATATTTGGTCTGAAGCATCCTTGGGTGAAGGGAAACCAATTTTGTATAAATCATGGGTCTGGCCCGCCAGGGGCCTGAGAGGTGGGGCCCAATAGGGGAAACATAGCAAATTATTCTTTAAAATCCTTCTTCTTCTGTTGGAATGAAAGGATTTGTTCCATATTTGGTCTGAAGCATCCTTGGTTGAAGGGGAACCAATTTTGTATAAACCGTGGGTCTGGCCCCTCAGGGGCGGGCCCAATAGGGGAAACATATCAAATTATTCTTTAAAATCCTCTTCTGTAGGAATGAAAGGATTTGGTCCATATTTGGTGTGGAGCATCCTTAGGAAAAGGGGAACCAATTTTGTATAAATGTAGTGTGTGATCCCCCTGGGACCTGAGGGATGGGGCCCAATAGGGGAAATAGAAGTAAAACCTTTATAATCCTTCTTCTACCATATGGATTGAGGGATTTTATCCTAATTTAGTCTGGAGCATCCTTGGACAAAAGGGACTCAATTTCGTATAAACAGCGAGTGTGGCCGTCCTGGGGATAGAAGGGAGGGGCCCAATAGGGGAAACATAGCAAATTCTTCAAATTCCTTCTTCTTCTGTACGAATGACAGGATTTTGTCCTAATTTGGTATGAAGCATCATTGGGTGAAGGGGAACCAATCCTGTATAAACGGTGTGTCTAACCCCCCTGGGGGCAGAGAGCCGGGGCCCAATAGGGGAAATAGAGGTAAAACCTTTAAAATCCTTCTTTTACCATAGGGATTTAGGGATTTAATCCTAATTTA